GGGGTTAGGGGTTTAGGCTTTAGGGCAAGCAAAAGGCTCTACAACCTGGGTTTCTATGTGACGGTATGGGGGAACCAGCTCTGAAACCCTGAAGCCGTATTTGTTAAGCAGCCGTTTTCTGAGGTGCTGTAGTTTCTTGGGTTCTTGGAGCCACTACCGAATGACTGTTTTTAATCTAAATCTGAATTTCAGAGCACTGGTAGTAGAGGCCGATGCATCATCCTCCATGCAGGTCCTGGAGCCGTGGCGAGCCATTCAGCACCCGGCTTGGCGACAGAGAAGCACCTCGTCCTGCGATGTTTTAGGATTTAGGGGCTTGGGGTTCCAAACCCAAAGCCCCAAAACAATGAATGCTAACTGAATCCTTTAGAAGTGTAGGATGCAGATAGAGTTCTACGCAAAACCCAACCCTGAATAACTTGGAATGCTACCCGCATGTATTCTGGGCTGAGGCTGCTGGAGGAACTCCCGAAGTGCTCGCAGGCTATCGGGCATGACCTTGATTGGTTTTGGGACTCATACAGATTTCGGAAACAAAAATTAGTGTCTGTGTAGTTCCCTTTGGTGGTTGCCTTTTTTGACTGTTTTGAAGATCCGGAGAATAGAGCTGATAAGATCCGGAGAATAGAGCTGGAAAGCGGAAAAGGAGCTAGGGCTGTGACTATGGGTATAATGGGGTCTACTGTTATATGGACACACTAAGACCAGCAAATAGGAGTCTAAGACACCAGTGACGGTGTAAGGCTAAGGCTTTTGGAGATATGGGGGATAGGGCGTTAGGGCTTCAATCTTTTGGGAAGGATTATTGGTTTAGGGTTTAGGGATTTGAATTGAGGCCCTTTGCCGTTCATGGCTTAGGCTCAGGTTCTCCAGCTGGTCTTTGTTTCCGACGATTCCCTGACGCCCGGTTATAGCTCATTGAACTCGAACCTGTTCGATCCCGAAGGAGAATATCATCGAGAAGGATTGCAGTTTAGAGTTTAGGGTTTAGGGTTTAGGAGCACAGTGTAGGCTTTAGGAATGGTTGCTTGCAGAAAAGCCGGAGCTCACTATGTTAAGGAACCTTCAAGACAAAACCAGGTAACAATAACGTGATGGCTTTGGGTACTGAGGGTTTGAGGACGACGAGATTATGAGATCAACACATGAATAATAAGGCCCCAAACCCTAAACCCTTCACCCTAAACCCTAAACCCCCGTATAATAACGTATCTACGAAGGTCCACGCAAGACGACCCCATCCCGGGTCTCCAAGCTGCTGAAGTCAGACTCTTCAAACAACGGCCATGGCTGTGAAGTAAAGACTTAGGGGTACTTAGAAATATTGTTTTTAATCTTTGGCTACTATAAACCCTAAGAAGCAGCTAAAATTATATCTTTTGCTAGGGGTCTTAAGTTCAGTATAGAAGATGCTGCAGGCGGCAGATGTTGTCGGCAAGCTGGTGGAGATTGTGAAGGCCGTGCAGGAGAAGGCGGCCTATGTTCTTTGCCCAGGGTCTACCGTGAGCCACAAGCCATCTGTCTTGATGCTTCTAGGCTCCTACGGATATATCTTAGAAGGCTATAAGGATGCAATGGCTCCTCCCGAAGGGAGGAAGCCTTAGGGCCTCATGCCATGTCGCAAAGTCTAAATAAACATGCATGATCATGTTGGTGGTCTTGTTCCTGCATGATGCAAGCATCGCTCCCGAACATGCACCGCACCAGAGCACACGCACGCACACATACACCTACGCCTTCATGGGCCTACATCAAGCATACCTCAAGTAGACCTGCGCGCCGACCAACCCTCAAAAGAAAGGAAGTGCACACCGACCCACCCTCAAAAGAAAGGACACCGTAACACAATGCATACATGCACACATGCATGTGGGTATGTATGTATGTATGTATGTATGTATGTATGTATGTATGTATGTATACATGCATTCACGTATGTAGGTTGGCAGGCAGGTAGGAGCGTATGTTCGTAGTTATATATACACACACGTACTCATTTAG